GGAATATAAAGTTTCGTCAAGAATTTGCAGTGTTTTCTCCACAATCTAGCAGCACTCATGACAATAAAGATGACTTAAATAATGAGCCCTCTACGGGTGAAATGAGCAGGGCCGAAACTCCAAACATACCGCTATAAAAAGTGAAATTTGAACGGGCATTTTGCGAAAACATCCGACGATAGTACTCGCACGGGACGAATTTTGACAAACATTTTTCAAATTAATACCAAGAAGTCATAACCAGTAATTACCTAAATATACTTGCCATTTATACATGTATAATCCACGCTTAGTTGACCATTAACCGACACAGTTATAAACAGTATATCGAACATAATTTATATTTTGTGATTTCGAAAAAGTCATGCCTTCTTGTTTTATGCAGAATGCATGTACACGTCAGTTGGGGTATTAGATTGTTCGCGTAAAAATCTAGGTAAAATTAAATTGCCAAAATTAAACCCAAATTTCTCTGTTTTCCTTCGGTAAAATTTTTTAAAACTTTGCACATTTTTTAATGTCGGTACAACAAGTGCAATATCCTTTTTTCTTAAAATTGAATCGAAGGGAAAATTTTTAATATTAATTTTTGACGTTTTTTAAATTTTCTAAGAAACGTATCGATTTAATTTTTTAAAATTGAGGGGAAAAAATCATTATACAAGTATTATCTTTTATGCAAAGTTTTAAAAAATTTCACCGAAGGAACTTTTTAAAATGACCTGAAAAAGACAAATTTTGAGCTTTATTCTAAGCACGCTGTTGCCATGACAACATATTTTTAACACAAAAGTAGCAATTCGCAATGTTCAGGAGAACATTGTCAATGTGTCCAATAAATTTCGTCTTCATATCATGTAAAGTAAAGAAACAGGAGTCTCCTGAATACTATAGTGTAGTAAATTAAAAAACCCTAGGGAGCCACGTTAAACTGCTCTCTCGGCTTCAGTGTGCATGATAGAAAGGTGGTTTACATTGATTAGGACTGCAGCTCTGCGACCTTAAATCGCCTTAAATCGCTATTTCAAATTGGACAAATATATATTAAATTGCCTTAAATCGCTCCAAATCGCAACTTCATATTAGATGAATTTCTCTTAAGGTGGCTCCATACAGTTCCGTAGTATAAATACCTTATTGCGTAAAAATTTCAATTTATAAATTTTATCACTTTATCTATTAATTTTAAGCATTCCCTAGTATAAATTAAGTATTTGGTAGAAAAAATTTGCAATATTCTTGAACATAATATTGTTTCCATGGTAACAGTAGTCTCGCCAAATATGGTATTTTTTGCTATTTTAATAATAAGCAGGTTTTTATTACTTATTTTCCGAATATTGCCGGTGACACCCCATTTTTAACTGCTGTATAGCTTTCAATTTCAATGCTGAATCTTATCCCGCCTGAAAATAAAAAAATTCTGTAGATTAGAAAAGCCAGAATAAAAAATTGCGGATTTAGAGTTTTCCAATTTACAGATTTTTTTTAAATTTTGATATTCTATTTGTTT